TGAGCCTTCTCCCTGGAATCGGATCGAGTGCGGCGCGCAAGTGAAGGACTCTTGAGGCGGAATCGGGTACGAAGTTCGCAGACCGGACGAGGGCACCTAAGTAACTGTTAGACGCTGTATTGAGGAGGCACCCCGATACAGCTACTTACATGGTAAATGTTGGCTGCTTCTCCGTCCACGCCAACAACGACTTCCAGTCTCTTCCTCTTCTTGGATCCGGGCTTTTGTGTGTAAACTTCGCCAATGTGGTATTGGCCCTTGGTGTGGTCGAGGGGACGTGGCAGCGATGCCAAAACGTCTGGCCGGTGGATGCGGAAAGTGGGAGCCATCTTGTATCTTCTCAAAGCCTTAGCCTACGGAGACGCTGTGAATTGAGATTTTGGCGGGGCTCAGGTCGGGATGCGACGGCAATGGCTCTTCCCAACCTCGAAAACCTGGCTGTGTAAGTGAAGGTCGCGATGCCGAAAGGAAAAAAAAAAGTTGGAGGACTCTGCTGTAGTGGGGTGCAAAAGTCGACCTGACGATGGTTTCGCACTGTCCTTAGCTGCGCGGATACACGGAGGAAGGCCGTGCGGGCATTTCCCAAAATCACCGTTGTCGGATAATCTGCGGACCGCACTGCGATATCGATTAGATAAGATAAGAGACAAAAGACAATCTGGAATGCTGGTGGGTCCGGGGTCTTAAGTGTAATGGACGTCGCGCTACACGCCCACTGCTGCCCCCGGCGATTCGAAGACGCGACTCACGCGACTGGTGCACTCGATCCTTAGACAACCCACCCACCTCGACTTCTCGCACCCATCGATTTGCGCTCCCATATTGAACTTCGGAGGAAGTCTTTGTTATGTTCTGTTCTTTATAATAGACGGTGCCAAAATTCTGGGCATTGGTACTTCATCCAATCTGGATCGCGAACATCTTTCGTCACTCACCAATTCCTGATCAGTTGCATGCCCGCTGACGTAGTCTAAAGGCGCGACGGCTCTGGCGTAAGTTCTCAAGTCTTCTGTTCATATAATGAATACGCCTCCATTGCTCTGCCAATGTTGCCATAACTCCATGCTAAAACCTACTTCCATCATAGCATCGCACGATCTCATGGGAACTCTTCTTGTAGCCAACATGGCCCCAGATGGGCTGGACGCCTCCCACACCACAAAGCTTCACCCATTCTTCGTCCCTGGGAAGACCGCCGATGCACCGAGAACCGATTCGAGTACCGACGACCAGCCTCAGTCTGTCGACAGCACACTTTTGAAGAGTAAACCCGTTCGATCTCGAAAGCAGGCACGTGCATCTCAGCAACCATCCAGCGACGTTGAGCCAGCGTCCTCGGATATAGGCGAGGATGAACAAGGTCGCAAGAGGCAAAAGACCAGTGCTGGCAACCCTCCAAGTTCTGGGAAGAAAAGAGGGCGGCCCAGAAAGAAGCCAAACATCCCATCTGTCGATATCACGAGCCACTTCTCCCAGGTCAACAGCGTGCCGACGACCTCGCTTGCCAACGAAGTCCCACAAACGCCCGATCCCGCACCGATAGAGCCCGATATAGCTGCTCTCCCACTGACCCAGGCTCCTGTTTCCCTCTTGAACACGATCGATAACCCTTCGAATACGACTTCGAACGCGACGAATGCAGCTCCTGTTGCTGTAGAGGAACCCAAAAAGCCTACCAAAGTACTCAAATTCAATCCAAAGACCGGCACAATTGGCTCGCCTCCGAAGCCTAAGCCAAGCCCTGCAGAAACTTCCAAAGGCGCAAAGGCATCCAAGTCACCGGCCAAACCCACCCGCATCGTAACCATCAAGTATGGAATTGATGTGGCGTCCCGCGAACGCATAGGCTCAAAGATTGAACAGATTCTCACGACTCCAACGAAAACGACCCCCAGAGGGCCTCGTGCGAAGGTCTCCAAGCAGGACCAGGACAAATCAAAAACGAAGGACACTCATCCTCTGTTTCTAGGCAATGCCAAGAAGGCTGTGAAGCTGGTGGACGCGCCTTCCGCCGCTCCCAAACCGCCTAGAGCCACCATCTTCTCATCGACCCCATGCTCTCCCAGAAAGCAGCGGCTAGCCCCAATAGCTGGCAAGATTCAGCTTCCACAATTCGGTGTCCGATCTATGGGCCTCAAAGTTCCAGGCGCCTGCCATCCCGCATGGCCGGCTCAGGGGATGTCACACGTAAGGGGGCTTCTTCCCGAAGAAGAGCGTCTTCCAGTTGCAAAAGACGCCCCGGTGTCGTCCCGAAAATCCAAGGGACAAACTACAAACATCTACCCTGGTGAATCTGTCATAGACCAGCTTGCCAAATCGCTCAACACTCTGAGCATCAAGAAGTCAGTCCAGGAGGCCGCAGAGGACTATGAGCCGCCACCCACGGAGCTCCGTCTGCCTGAGAAGCACTTTGAAAGCGGTCGCAAGCTTCGGCAAAGGATCAAGCGAGAGCTCAAATCTGTTCTGCCAGTGACTTCGAGTGCAGACAGTGATGAAGAGCTACTTACTGCGTCCAACCGGAAACCCCATCCTTCAGTGGCCCGCCTTTACAACATGCTGGAAACCAATCTCTCAGCCTATGACAAATCGCAATGTGAGGACCTTCCGTGGGCACACAAATACGCACCAATCAGCGGAGAAGAAGTTCTTCAATTCGAAGAGGGCGTGTTGCTGAAGGAATGGTTGCAGACCTTAACCGTTCAATCAGTCAACACAGGTGCTTCCACTTCCGCCTCCGGTACAAAAATGGGTTCGGCGGCAAAGAAGAAGCGGAAGCGCGCCAAGATGGATGGATTCATCGTTTCAGATGGTGATGAAGTAGATTTCCTACCTTCTGTCTCTGACGACGAGGATGAATGGCTACCGACACCTGTTCATGGTGGCCCGAAGAAGACTGTAGTTCGCCGCGATGTTGCGAAAGATGCGAGCCGCCTGACCAATGCAATTGTCCTTAGCGGACCTCATGGCAGTGGCAAGACGGCTGCAGTCTACGCCGTAGCAAAGGAGCTCGGCTTCGAGATATTCGAGATCAACGCCAGCAGTCGCCGCAACGGCAAAGACGTCATGGAGAAGATTGGAGACATGACGCAGAATCACCTTGTTCAACATAATCGCCAAGGGGGCAAGGTTGATGCCGGGGATAACGCCGATGACGAGACAGCAAAGGACATCAAATCTGGCAAGCAAGGCACTATGACATCTTTCTTCAAGGCAAAGGTGGTTCCCAAACCAGAACCGGTACCACAGCCTGTCGACCAGCCGTCCGAGGCACCCAAGTCCGCAAAGGCAAAGGCCCAGAGCCAAAAGCAATCGTTAATCCTCCTTGAAGAGGTCGACCTTCTCTACGAAGAGGACAAGCAATTTTGGGCTACCATCATCAACTTGGTCGCGCAGTCCAAAAGACCATTCGTTATGACTTGCAACGACGAGACTCTGGTTCCATTTCACAGCTTCATGCTTTATGGAATCCTCCGTTTCACACCACCGCCAGCGCTCTTGGCGGTCGATGTACTCCTACTCATTGCAGCCAATGAAGGTCATGCCCTTAGCCGGCCGGCTGTGAGCGCCCTCTATGAATCAAAGGGGAACGATCTTCGAGCGTCTCTCATGGAGCTCAACTACTGGTGTCAGCTGGGAGTTGGTGATCGTCGAGGCGGCTTTGACTGGTTCTACCCGCGATGGCCAAAAGGCTGCGACAAAGATGAGAATGGCGATGTCGTGCGTGTAGTCAGCGAGGGAACGTACTTGGAGGGCATGGGATGGATCAGCCGTGACCGAGCAGTGGTTTCCAGCGTGCGTGCTGCTGAAGAAGAACTGGTGAGCCAATGCTGGCAGGGCCTCGGCATGGATTTGAGCAACTGGCATGATTCACTTGACATGGCCTCGTGGGCAGACAGCGTGATGACTTCTTCGCCCAGCGAGAGGGCTGTCGCGCTAGACGTGTTCTCCGAGTTCTCTGATCTCATGAGCGCGGCTGATGTCTGCTCTGATGGGGACTTTGGCCTCAAGTTCCAGGTGAGTAGTCTGAATGACGCTCAACATCGTGCGACTATGGCTAACAGATACGCAGGAACCCCTCGATCCCACACAGCCAGATCTCCCTATCAAAACCCGCGATGACTTCATTTTAGGCCGGCGCCTACTTGAGGCCCCATTCCAAACTGACTACACTCAAACGGCCACCACTATCGCCACCGGTCTCAAATGCGCCGCTCGACAGCTTCTCCAATCCGCACCCCTACGAAACAGCAGTACCGTCAATATGGGTTGTTTCCAAGAGCACAGCGCAATCCGCCAAATGAAAAGGTTCTTTGTCGCTCCTTCCCGGGAGGAAGCAGTGATCAACCGCTATGATATGGCCATGGCTTTCGATCCTATCGCTATCTCCGAGAAAGCAGCGGCTATGATGGCCACCAGTCTCGAGCCGTCAGTTTTTGACCGTACTATGCGTATGATTACTCTTGAGGTGGCACCCTATGTGCGCAGTATCATAAACTACGATTATCGTCTCATGCAGAATCGCATGCAACGAAGTGGTCTACTCAGTGAAGGCGGCAGGCCAGGGAAGAGGATGCGTAGTACTCGTGCCGCCTATTCGGCATTGGAGGGTGTCGCGCGTGGCAACATGCGCAAGGAGAACTACTTTGCCGCAGAAATCAGCACTCATCTGGTCATGAGGACTGCAGGAGAAGGTTGGCAAGCCGCCGTGGATGAGGCCATGAGCTTGATTGAGCAACCACCAAGTCCAGCCGCCGAAGGTGAACCTTCTATTGAGCCTCCCGTGGAAGCAAACAGCGCTATTGTATCGACCGTCGAGGGATAGATGAATATAATGAACACGTTGCATTTGGGAGAAGCGATAGTATAAAGGAAGAGGGGGCGGTTTGGCGCAGGTGAAGGAGTACAACGGAATAGCATGGAAACTGGCTGGGAATCTGGCTCGAATAGTACGGCCAAATAGCATGTCATGGTAGCCATTCATCTTACTTGGCTTTATTTCACCGGCTGCTCCAAAGGTTGCGACTGTGATGCCATCGACTCACGTCCGCATGAATTCAAACGGCTAATAATAATCAGACCTCCGCCGGGACCTTCGATCCACGTACTCTGGCTCGCGTGGTGGTGAAGGAAATCGTTGATCACCGCGCCGGCTCCAATCCTCCACAGCTTCATTGTATCGTGGTCTTGGTAGACGCTCCTCCACGAATCGACTCCCGGCAGCTTCTGACCTGTTTGACTGCTTCTCGTATCTCACCATCTCATTCTCCCCCTCCGCGCCGACTCCACGTGATCGTCCTCGGCCATCCCCTTCGATTCTACCTCGTCTTTCGAAGCGCTCGCTCGGAGACGGGAGATAGTCATCAGAGTAATATGAATCCCCTTCGCTCTCGCTTCCATAGCCGCGCGACCGTCTGCCGCCGCGGCTACGGGGAGGGTAATACTCCCTCTCGGACAGCCTCCGCCGGTCGCGCGGGTAGTCGTTGCGGTCCCAGACGTTGTGGTCGTCGTAGTCGATATACCCGTTATGGCGGTCCCGTATGGCGTTGCGCCTGCGGGACCGGCGGCCGCCTGGTGGCGGCGAGTGCTCCCAGTGCTCCTTTTCTGAGTGAATTATGCCGCGCGGCCAGAGCTTGTGGACGGCGAGGGAGGCGACGGCAATGGCGGCGATGAAGACGGCCGCGGTTTTGATGCCGGGTTTCTTGTGATGATCGCGGGGTCCCGCGGAGGAGGACCGCGAGCGGGAGGATGGGGAGTAGGAGCGCCGTGTCCGGGCCATGGTTGTGGTTCCCGACCGGGTTGTCTGTGTGAGGGCGCGACTGCGGTGGCTGCTATTAGACTGAGACATGCGCGGTGGTATGTGAACAGCGGTGAGTGCGTCGTTTGGAGATGAGAGCTGGATATTCGTGTCGTTGTGAGATGTCTCGGGTGTGTTGACGCCGTCGATGAGACCGGCCTATTCGAGTGAGACAAGTTGTTTGATGGTCTGAGGAGAAAGCTCGGTGACAGGAAACCTGTAACAGGAGATTGCTTGGACCGGAGGTCGAGGTAAAAGGGGAAATGAGACCACTAAGAGGAGAATGAGAGCGAGGATTAATGAATGTAAATGACGATGAGCCCGTATCTAGAGGCTAGTAGGCGGTGCGAAAAGCAAATGAAACTTTGGGAGCCGGCTCGTTGGGCTTCTTCCCCCCGGTATCAGAGCCCGAACTCTGAGGAGTTGGGATCGTCCGAGCGAGGGTCAACCTGGCACGTCGGTCTTGAGTGGAAATCTGGCGCGGCTTTTGGGTTTCTTAGTGGGTTGGTCACGCAGAGAGACAGAGAGAGAGAGAGAGAGAGAGAGAGAAGCGCAGCGAGTTTTTCCGACTGTATGCGTAGTAAAAGCCTACTGCAAGGACAGCGCCGACGGCGGCTGTGCGTAATTCTCTTTCTGCGGCAGACGTACGGCTTGGTTAACTTGCGCAGCGTGTGGGAGGAGGAGCAGCAGATAGGTTAGAAACAAGTCCGGTCTACGGCTGGCTCGGGACGATGCCGTCAACACAGGGATCTTTCTTGTGGGATGGAGGGGAGGGGAAGAGAGACGGGCGAGTCAAGAACTTTGGGGGGGGAGAAAGGCAGAAGGCGAAGGGAGGGACGGGTTAGGTATTGACTTGGTAAGAGGGTCGGATGGAAATAGACGTGGTTTGATGGGTGATGGGTGAGATTTATGGGAGGACGGAGCGCAAAGGGTTTGGGTGAGAGGGAGGTTTTATCGGATGGTCTGAGAGTCGGTAAGGGCTTGCAGGATGACCGAGAGGCGCATTCGATAACACCACGGATACATGGATGAAAGTAAGCAAGTTAGTTCACTCGATACTGCGCGATAAATGTGAGTTGTATGACAAGAGGGCAGATGGTCAAACGTTCGCAATCTTGCGGGGGAAAGGACCCGATAACGATGTGAGGAGAAGATATGGAAGACTTCTTGTCAGACCGGGAACCCGTGGTGTGGTTGTGATGCCACTTGGACGTTGTGTGGTTATGTGCAGACAGACAGGGAAGAGCGAGACAAGCTTTCCTTGGCTCGGGTTCGATCCCCGGAACTCTGATGCACAGAGGACCACGCGGGTAGTTTGGGAGAGAATGGCATAGGGATTCCCTCTGCTCTTCACCCTCACCCTTTTGACGGTTCACTCGGCCAATCGTTTGCCTGCCTGTCGAAAGGAGGCTCTATCTCTGTAGCCCTCTTTCGCCTCCGATCAAGCGATTGATCGATTGAGTTATTGCCTCGGATGAAGAGCCGTATGTTGCTTCTGGTAGGTGGCGATCTGAGGATTGAATGGACATCTGCATTACGACTTGAGTCGGGAGAGGAACGTCCCGACAGATGGACGATGGAGTCTTGGGATTTTGGAAAAGTGAGTGATGGCAAGGCCTGGAACCTCATTGCCGTCTCTTAGAGGGTGTGTTGGCCGTTTAATTTGTGTTAGATCTGAGTGAGACAGGGTAGGAGATGGGCGAATGATGAAGTGGGTGAGGTTTTAGAACCGGGCTAGTCTACGCGTGCTTGCGACGTGATGGTCAGCGATTGGCCAATGCGTATTGAGGCCGACGGGTGTGACGACACGCAGGTATGGTCTAAAGCGACGGGTTTCCTTATGGGGGAAGACTTGAGGCTCGGTAGTACGAGTCTGATGATGATGGTTGTAGTATACCTCAAAGTAGAATGTGTCGATGAATACGTTCGGCTGTGAGGCCCTCGATATCTCATAGGGTACGTCATGAGATCAGCTAGCAAAGAATCAAGTAGAGAACTGGCTCCGATATATCTATGGTCTCTTACCAATGGCTTGCATCTTGCATCTTTAGAGACTTATGTTGACAAGCAGGCCAGCTTGGCAACAGAGTTTGAGCCTAGCTTGTCATCCTCCTTACGAAGCTGAGACTGAAGTTATCTCTCTCGGCGGCCCTCGAATCCCGTCAACAGCTTCGGTTGCTGTACAGAATGACTCCATTGACGAGCGCAGGGAAATGAAGGCTTTTTTGTTCTGTTTTCTTTCACAACGTCGCTGCCGTGGCGCGTATGCGCGACCTAGGGTATGTGAGAGCTTTTGACTTTCTGTGATGAGATAGCTTAGAGCATCTACTCATGCGAGACTCATGATTTCTTATCTCATCTCATTGATACTGAGATGTTCTTAAAACCTTCATCAGCAAAGACTATCCATGCTGTCTAAGTAATGACCTTGTGAGAGTCTGTCATCATAGAGCAGCATGAAACTATCCAAACGACCAGGGCTCGACCAGACGTGACCATTTTTCTGACTGGCAAATCTTACGGACACAAATCTTGATAACTGAATAGCTGGATCCTGGCGACGCAGATACTTGACTAGTATGCCATGCATCTAGCCCTTTGTTCAAATGATTAAATACGCACTGAGACTGAGAGATGTAGCTGGTAATAGATGTTTTGAAAAAGAACAATACCAAAGCAGCTTAGCTAGAAAGTTTTCTTCATCTCTCCTATTATGACATACGCCAGAAATCCCAAGCAACCTTTGAACACAATACAAAGTCCCTCCCAAGTCCTGGATACTAGCAAGGAAGCATTTATCCTTCTGAAAGTATTCACTCACAGGATTACCAAGAAGAAAGCAAGCAAGCACATCCATCCTCCCAACCACGTCCAAGATCTGCGCGGAGCCTCTCTCAAAGTGGCCGCCATCCTTCTAAATGTATCATATTTCTCACCTTTCAGAGCAGCCTGGAGATCGGCCAGGTCCCGCTTCATATCATCCTCCGCGGGCGTGTAATTCCTCTGCATCTTCATCTGCTCCAGCAAGTCCGCAGCAGTCCATCGCCGCTTAGGGTCTGGAATGAGCATCTTGTGAAGCAGGTCCTCCGAGAACCTGTGAGGTGAAGGCTCACAGCCACAGCCCCGGGGAGCCAGCGGGTGAATGCCAAATTCTGCGCCGTCAGTCAGGTCAGGCTGGCCCAGCCTATCCGATTCCCACCGCTCTCTCGCGGATCCGCGGCCGTCGTAGTAAACGCCGAAACGGTGACAGTGCCAGAGGACCATGCCCAGCATCCAAATGTCGGATTCGAACGTCGGCTTTGTGTTGGCGCTGAAGGCGTACCACTTGCCCGGGAAGCGGAGCTCAGGGGCCGTATAGCCGTCGTTGCGCAAGTTGTGGCTCAGGACTTCTGGAACGAGGCCGTGTCCGAAGAGCTTGAAGCGGACGCGTGACGAGTCTTCTGAGGGGAAGGGGAATACGTTGTGGAGGCGGACGTCTCCGTGTGCAGTCCCTGTTGCGTGGAGGTAGGCGAGGGCAAGGAGGAGGTCCCAAGCTACGTCGAGGACTATATCGTCTTGCGTAGTACCTCTCACGGGTCGCCATGATACTTGTACGGGAAGTCTCTCGACGATGAAGACCTTGCCTTTTGGGAGATAGTCGAGATACCTTACAACCGTTTCCTATACCCATCGTGTGTCAGCATCTCATTCATGAACTCGGGGAGGGCGGGGAGGTTGAACTTACAGGAGAAGCCTCTTTGGTAGGCTTTACCAAGTCCGCTGCGAGATTCGCGAGCTTCTCTTCCCGGGTGGCATCGAGTTGAGGAAAGCCGACAAACGTCACGTCTCTAATGCCGTCAGCATCTCTCGCAGTGATATACCTACGGCCGTCTCGCAGAGATCGGAAGTCGGGTTCGTCGCCGACGGGACCTTCGTCCGAGTGTAGGATGCCCTTGAGGCTCAGGAGGTTCTGAGATGCTTCTCTGTGCGACATGATGATGAGTTTGCAACTGAGCTGCTTTTTCGAACTAACATCTAAATCGAGAAGACGTCTATCATCGTTTATGCTGGGTAAGATATATACAGGTAGGCCCAGTCCATCTCTGTCGTTGGTTTCTTTCGTTTCCTTGTCGATTGTTTCTTCACATCGCCTACCTGATTCCTGTTTGTTCCTGAAAGAGGATAGACCAGCCGTGCTCTACATTTTTGCAGTACTTCATTCTTTCAAACTTGAGGGTTCGGTTGACAAGGAAAAAGTGAAGTCAAAGGCAGCTGTATGCTGGTTGGGGGTAAAAAACAAGGTCGACGTCTAAGAGATACTCAAAGCATTGTTCCGGGGACAATTGGTTTGGTGTATCTCGAAACATCCACCATCCGCATCTTCTCTTTGATTTGATTTGAGGTCGTTTCGGGGGAGACAATCTCCATCTCGAGTTTCTTTTCTCTCGGGGGACTAGCAAACAAGTGACTCAATACCATTCAGTATTGAACGTATAGTCGCATTGTCTCTGTCAAGGAACCGAGGTACTGATTAACAAACACGTTTCAAGCATTCAAAGATGCCACCACGCTTCAAACACTTACAAGAGAACCCGAAACAGGGTTTCAGTAGACATAGTACCGGCGACCCTTCGCTCAAGTATGGCATACGTGCATCTGGTGTCCATTCCAACGTTTCCAAGAGCATCGTCGTCTATTCCCACCAGTCGCAGCCACATGCCAGATATGACTGGCGAAGGATAGAGTTCTGCAAGATAACATCCCCCTTCGAGGGACTCATTAAAATCTCCATGCAACACCCACAGAGGGTTACATAGGCTCATATCCTCCTTATCGCCTATGTAGTTGCGCATCGAAAGCCCAAACAAGTCAAATCGAGAAGCCAGCCTAGGTGGGGCATAGGCTGTGTTCTTGAAGGCTTTCATCTGTACGGGCTCAGATACCCGTTTCTAGTTACTGGGAAGAAATCAGGAACATCAGAGCTGGCCGTCTTCCTTGGAGACCGAGCCTTTTCTTTGAATATGACTGAAGATGCCAGTTTTCAAAAGCCCAGTTGACAGGGTATGAATCAATATAGGAGTCAAAGACGATTGGAAAGACAACGAACAATGAATAATGAAATGACCAGACGAGACTGCCGAGCATTGATACGCAGCATGAGTATGATCGACCGCAATCAGCCTCTATGTACATGTATCTAGCAAGTGAGTAGCATCGCTCTGAAGATGGACCATGGGTTTGATCACTGTGTATGCATCTTTACATGAACGATTCTGGTTCACAAGGGGCACTCGTACTTTTCTTCTCGGACAACTGATCTAGAGCAGAAGGGCATTACCTCCTAGGATTCAGTACATAGTCGGTGGTTCAAACAGCCAAGTCGAGAATCAGTCAGACTTCGGACTCAAGGTGGCCTTGCCGACAGTCAACCGGAAATCTTCCGTAGATGATTGGCATGCTGAATGGCATGCCCGCATTGAGATTCACCTGCATCACCCAAGAGCAAGTATAAAGTCGGCGGGTGAGGTCGACCAGCACTCATAACTACCGTCGCCAAAGAAAATCCTCATTTCAAGTCCCGAGGGTCAGGTCCCTTCATAGTACCGTCAGTGGAGACTGACGTCGGTTCCAGGTAGTCGACGATCCAATCGTCTATACGTAAATGTACGAAACGAGAATGAGTACGTGGTGTCTATGCCACCTTGCGCGGAAAGGGCCCAATGCTGCAGTCTGTCACTTGGCAGATGATAGATCGGGCTCAGTCAATCGAATCAGAATCGATATCGTAAAGTGAACGTCCACAGCACTCCGCGGCCCCGGGACGGCCGGCCGGAGGTAAGTTCGTGGTGTTACGCCAGCGTCGGCGACGGGCGGGGGGCTAATGTGGAGGCGCGAAGCCCAAAAGAAACCACCATGACCACCACCAGAGGTATCCATACTCGAAGGTGTGCCAATAGTCGGATCAGCGCGGGGCAGGCTCCGGGGACGCCAAATTACAGACGGTCTTTCTCAGCAAAAGTGATTGGAGCCTTGGCCTTGGAGGCTCGCTACTGCCAATGGAGACAGAGGCTTTTGTGTGCCAGTGGGGAGTCGTCATCACTCAGCATGATCTGCCTG